CGAGACCTCATCTCTACAATAAATCAAAAAATCAGCCGGGTATGGTAGCGCGTGTCTGTAGTTCCGGCTACTCGGAAGGCTGAGGCGGAAGGATCGCTGGAGCTCAGCAGGTCGAGGGTGCGGTGGCCAGCAGCGGCCACTGCACTCCAGCCTGGGTGACAAGACTGAGACTCCAACTCAAACAAGCAAACGAAAAACTAGCATTTGTTAAGTATTTCTTTGCCAGGCACTATGTTAGTCAATTTGCAGAAAGCTTTTACTTTAATTCTTGCAAAATAAGTATGTAGTTTAATTTCACAGATCAGGCTAAATTTCTTAGATATGAAAAATTTGCCTTTTGTTAACAATCAGAAAATCAAAAGCCCAGGGTTTTAATACAGAGCAGGCTTGCCAGATGATAAATGCATACTTAAGCTATGAATTGGAAGATCAACAGAACTTCAACGAATACCAAAGGTAGAAAAGTATGTTTCAAGTTAAGATAAAATTTGAGAAAAGTTATGAAAGTTGGAAAACTCAGGTTTTGAGTAGAGAATAGTTGGCATAGGTAATCTAATTTACCTTTGTTGGAGTGCGTAAAGGTGACTAAAGCTGGAGAAGGGAGTAAGAGTGGGATTGTGGAGGGCTTTGCATGCTTAAGAACTTTGGATTTTTTAAGTAAATAAATCACTATATAAGGATCATGAGAAAACACAATGAGATTTTTGTTTTGGGCTTACCACCTAGACTGCAAGATAGCTGATGAATGTGAAGTGGTTTCTTCCTGCTATTTCTTGATGTTCCATTTATAGTACTCAAAGATACAACATTTGGTAGTTATAAAGGGTTAAATTCAGGAGTCTGATGGGAATGCTACATCAGTACTGAAGAAGTGGTATATGGAGAAGTAATAATTCTGATATTGCCAGAACTGAATAGAAAGTACCAGCTAGCATGGAAAAGAAAAATTAACACGAATATAGTTAATTTTTAAAAATGAAATGAAAATAATTTTGCAATGTGTTTTACATTAATTGAGCATAAGCAAGATATTTTCACTTGTATTTTGTTGCTTATGAGTGTAGAACAGAAGAAAATGGAAACTGTCCCTTTAATAAAACCCTGTTTACCTATCCTGTTCTTGTAGGAGTGGCTTAGGAACCTGTAGAGTGAGGTATAACTTCCAGTTCTGCATTCTGACCTGTACCCTTGGAAAGAGTGCTGATACTACAAACCAGGAAGTGACAGATAATGTGCTTTAAACTACATTAGAACTTATCCTTTATAAGGAACAGCTTCTCATAACAGCATTGAGAGATCGAAGCAGTGATTTTACATAGTTGTCATTAAATATTTGGACCTGTGCTATGGATAAAGACTTTGCAGCATACCTAGAATACAAAGCTTTCTGGGCCAGAAATTGATCTTCTGACTTTTGAGCCTTATCTGATTGCTGCTTGGTTCATCTTTATTTTGTTAAACTACTCTGTAGGCTTAAATGGGGAGACACTCCTTTGTTCACAGGTAGGTGGTCAGCTTTTTAAAATTTAGGCTATTTTTTTAAGGTTACTAAGGCAGATTGATTCTACTGATTTTTGAAAGAATTATGGATATTAGACTGGATATATGTTTTAATGTTTAAATGTTCAACATGGCTGTAAGTAACTACATTTTATGACAACTGTACAAAAAGTCATTTTAAACAAATTAGCAAAACTATAAGATGGTGAATTAAATTGTTCTATTTTGTTTTCCATTAAAAGTTCCATTTTATTTTCCTGTTATATACATATATAGTTAATTAATATATTCAAAAGTGTATTGAAATTATCCTGCTATTAACTTCCTGATAGTATTTAATAAAATATTTCAAACATTTATGGAGTCAAATAAAATTACGTTTTTGTTGTTAGTATTTTCCTTATAGCATAAGCCTTATTTCTTTCACTATTAGGAAGCTGTCTGAGTATTCATCATTGATTTACTATTTGCTTCAGTCTGTCTTTGTAATATTTTTTTATCTATTATTTTAGGAAAGATTTTATAAAAGAGTAATCTTACACAAGTATGTTGAAATATTACTTGCTTCACTTTGGAAAGTTACCATCCTTTTGTGGCCCTGCAAATATTTCAAAGATAGTGTCTTTGGAAGAATGAGCTAATTAGTAGTATATTGTAGTATGAGCTGTTATTGTGAGAAAAAGTTCACAAATGACTTGTCTAGATGGAAGCCATCAGAAAAGAAATGTGTGTATGTTCCTTAGGATTGAGGACAATGATTCCTCAACTTTCTTTGCCATTAATGGTCCTTTTATTTTTCTTCTTTGGGCACTACTTCAAAAGACTTTGTCCACCAAATAAGTGGTAGATTAAATAATAAATATTAAAACATCACTTTTTGTTAGATATATATCATTTGTTTTTTCCAGTGAGAGGTTCTTATCAGTCTGAGATATCCTTTCTAGGTTAATATAATTCAACTAAAAACAGTCTTGCCTTTTTTTTTTTTTTTTAGCTTGAGTAGATTTACCATAGTTAACTATTTAGATATTTTAGATGTTTTGAAATACTGATAATAATGTCTAAATTTTCATCACCCACTTTTATGGGATTCTAATAATCTGGGTACAGCAGACTGTGGTCTAAAGTACTGAAATTTTGTTCTTAATCTCTTTGAGGTTCCATGAGATATAATGAAAGTCATCTAGTATAACATAACAAATTAGGATACCATAGCTACTAGACACAGAAGAAAGAAGGAAAAAGAAAAAAGGAAGCGGTATTTGTTGTAGGGAATTTTGGAGAGAAATTCAAGGCATCTATGTGTTTTGACCCCATCAAATCTATATTTATTGCTACTGTTTACCAACTTAAAATTTTTTACGCCAATTAGGGTGATAAACTACTGACTTCAAAACAAACATTACTTATGGTTATATATTTATTGTGTATTTTTAGCTGGTTTCCCTTTCCCCAACTTTCTTTTTTCCTCCATCCCCCCATTCATATCCTTCCTTCAGCTCAACTGAAAACACTTCTGCAACGTGAAGCTTTATCTGATCACCCTAATCTACGGTAATATTTCCTTCCTTTAGACTCTCATGTCATGTTGATTCTACCAGTACTTTAGTGCATAATCATGTTATATCTTGTCATGTAACTTAAGAGTGTCCCACGTCTTCAACTATAAGTTGTTTGAGGGCCAGGAGCTTAACTTCTACATCATTTTTATTCCCCTAAGCATCCAGTGCAGTAATACCCATTTGTTTGGTACCAAATGAATATCTGTTGAATAAATCAGAGAGAGAAAGAATCTTGCCAACAATTGCTTCAAGTCTTATGCTACCTCTTTCTGACTTACTTAATCATGTAATTGTCTATGTAAATGTTTCTAGAAATCAGACCATTAGTTATCATAATATTATTGTTTTATTTTGCTATGCCATACATAAGTTTGTTGTATTTGATGATTTTAACATGGATATACTACCTACAAGGAAAAAACAAGCTGGACTTTATTAAAAATAAATCAAATGAAATATTCTGAATTCTGGTGTCTTGCATTTTATATTTTAGGAAAATATAATTTAAAGTTTATTGGTATTTAATGTTTTAAAAAATTAAAGTATTCACATACATTATGAATTAAGGGAACAGGTTCTGAGCAGACACTTAGGACTAAATGGGGATGCAGTGGTCATGGAAGACTGGTTGGATTGCAGAATTTAAACTACAGATCAGTAGTTGCCAGATACTCTGAATGAATTATTTCATAAAAAGAAATTTTAAACATTTTTACCTCCCATTCGTAGTTGTTATTATAATACACATTTAAAAATTATTTTATGTATTCCTTGTATCAACTCTGTCAGATAGCCATTATTAACCCGTTTTTGTAGATGCAGAAAATGGAGGTACAGAAAGGTCAAATAACTACCAAAACCACATAGTAGTAGTTGCATGACAGATCATTCTTGACTTCAAAATTTGTTTTGAACCACTGTTTTATTCTTTTTCTATGTTTTTCAATACTCAGTGTAATTTTTCTGTCATTTTAGAGCCTGACTAGGCAGGAATTCTGGCAACTTCTCCAGCAGAACTATGGCACTGAGCTAGGCTTAAATGCTGAAGCGATGGAAAACTTGTCACTGTCGACTGAGGATGTACAGCCAAGGTACAGCAAAATGTTTTGAAATGTCAGAATTTATCAATCATTAGTCAAAGCAGAATTGTTTTAGATTCTACTAATTCTGAATTTCTATTAATTTATCTTTGGGTACAGTTTGTATCTTTGTGGTGGAATGGTGGTATAACTGCATCACCTAAGATTTACTTTAAGCCTGCTTTTGGTAAGTCTTTTTATTAAGGATCTAAAGAAGTACTTCATAGATGACAATAAAATAAATTAGATGGCAACTGTTTTTGGATGCAATGATAATATGGCTTTTTTCTCAAGGATCCTCTAGCATAGCACTTGACATATGGTTGACATATAATAAATATTGAATACATTAATTAAAGAAATGTATAGTACTGTGGGAATGCAAATAATGATTATACAAGGTAAACAATGTAATTAGCCATAAAGAGTCATAGATGATGTGATAAAGAAATTAAGAGAGAGATTATTTTTGATTGATGAGGATTCTTTTTTTTTTGTTGTTGAGTTGGAGTCTCACTCTGTTGCCCAGACTGGAGTGCAGTGGCCGCTCCCTGCCACCACAACCTCGCCTGCTGGACTCCGGTGATCCTTCTGCCTCAGCCTTCCGAGTAGCCGGAATTACAGGAATGCGCTACCACACCTGGCTGATTTTTTGATTTATTGTAGAGATGAGGTCTTGCTGCCCAGGCAGGTCTCGAACCCACGGGCTCAGGCAATCCACTCACCTCAGCCTCCCAAAGGTGCTGGATTACAGGCTGAGCCACCGAGCCCGGCTTGATGAGGATTCATTTAAAGGAGTGGACATTTTAATTAATCTGTACAAGTAAAAGTATATTTTGTCCAATGGAAATTGAGGCTGAAGGAATAAAAAAAAATAAAAGAAAATGCATTAAAATTCTATAGCAAACTTTATGTTAGGTGAAACAGTCAGTCACAAAAGACCACATATTATATGGTTCCATGTATGTGGAATGCTAGAATTGGTAAATTTATAGAGACAGAAAGTAGATTAGTGGTTGCCAGGAACTGAGCGGAAGGGAGAGTGAGGAGTACCTACTGATGGGTAGAGAGTTTCTTTTTTGGGGTGATGAAATGTTTTAAAATTGAATAGTGGCACAATTCTGTAACCCACTGAACTGTACACTTTAGATGTACAGTTTTATGGCATGTGGATTATATCTTAATAAAGCTGTTATTTTAAAATTTTATAGCAAATAAGTCCTAATATGGAAATATTTTGAAAGTCTCAACATGCTGTACAAATTTTTACGCTCTAGGTGGTCTACTAGTTATGCCAATCCTATTTATATATTTTTAGTCTTCAGTATTTTATAGTCTTTTTTATGAGATTGCACATGTATATTTCATCAGTTTTTCTGTAAGGTTAAATTTTTTCATTGTATTTTTTCCTGTAAAGTTTAGTAGCCTCTCTCATGTTCTAGAATTAGATAGAAAAACAATTATAATGTAGGCAAAGAGTCCTGGATTATGGTAAACAAGATCTGGATTGTAGTCAGGACCACCAAGGAGCTGAGTAACCTCAGGCAAATCTTTTAACCTATCCTATTCTCAATTTGCTCCTCTATGAAATGAGGCAGTTCATCTCAGTGATCTTCCAGGTCCTTACCAACCTGAAAAGTTTCCAGTCTTTGAAGAAGGAAAGAATAAATGTTTTTGACCAGTTGCCTGATATACTCTTAGAGCCAGCTTTTTGAGCTCACTAGCAAACCTGCTATTTTCTTCTTCTGGTGATTGAGTGCTTTCTAAGAAAATATGTGGCAGTGTCCTCATTCTGTCTTCTTTTCTCACTCTTCCAGTCTCTGAAAGAAGCTTATCTTTTTTTTTATTGTTATTTCCTCAGTGCTTCCATCTTCTTTCTCTTTATTCTCAATTTCTCTTTCCCTCTTCCCCCTCCTTTCCTTTCTCTGTATTTCTCCACATCTCACCTCCATTCCAAAGTATAGACACTCAGCTGGTAGGTGTCCTTAGAGTCCTGCTGTTTTGCTTGGTCAAGGGTGATGTGGTAGCAGATCTCCCTATTGTTTGGGAAGAGTAAAGTAGGATTGAAATACCCTTTAGCTTTTCTGTACCTTCCTTAGGATAATAGGGTTTAGGATGTCAGGTTCTCACTTTATTTTAGGAGAAGACTGTACATCACAATGATTATATGGGAATAATAATTGCTTCATAAAGTTGAACACTGGAAATTAGATAAGTTGTGCTTCTTTTGTATTTAATAGACTTTCCTTTATTTTTGTCCCTGAGAAAGGAAAGCAGATCCCAGGACATTTTATCCCTGTTATCATTTGAAAGCTGTTTCTTAAACCTGTTCTTAGAGCTGGGAAGAGAAAGAAGGTGGCAGGCCTGATTGATGGCTCTATGCTCAGACATTATGAGCGTCCACTTCTGGGAAGGATTCGCCATTTCAGCTGGGCCTGAGTCCGAAGGAAGGAAATCTCGAAACTGCGTTTTAGTGTGGACCAGTCTCCAACTTAAACATCCACCCTGCACCTTTCCAAGCCTTGTGGTTGTCCACAACTGAAATTTAAACAAGCAGTATTCATTTGATTAGTTACTGTTATGGCCCCATGTACTTCATTAATTTTTAATGGTTTCTGAAATTTATAGAATCTCATATGAGCATATCTATCTTATTTTCAGAAATGAAGTCAATTTGCCTGTGATTTAAGAACATAGCTTTGTTATAAGTAGAGGCTTATTTATTAAATTACAATAATGTATTTGTTGTCAAAATGCTTCATAATAGAAAAGGACGCCAATGAGGAGTCCAAATAACTTATTTGTATAGAGGTGACCTTTTGATTCTATAATGATGTGTTTCTTACAGAAGTCCAGGAAGCAGTTTGGATGACTCTGGGGAGAGAGATGAGAAATTATCCAAGTCAATCAATTTTACCCATGAATCAATTATTCGGGTTTCAGAAACAGATTCATTTGATGGAAATTCTTCAAAAGGAGTTAGTATATGATATCCTTTAAAATATATATATCTGATACTGCCATGTGTTAATTATGATATAAGATCATATAAAAATACAGTATACAAAATGTTTAAAAACTTGAAATGTCAGGCTTCTACTTAATTTTAGGAGGAGTTTTAGGTCTGTAAGTAGCAGAGGTTATGTGGGAAAGATGTAGATTTGTTTAGAACTGGATAATGTGCAGAGCTATTATGTAGTTTTCTGAGCTCAGATTAGAAAGGGGATACATATTATTAAAAGAAGAACAAGGTAAAGAAATTTGTAGTTAGTAGAATTTTTCCAGGGTGAGTAGTGTGTGTGGTGGAAAGAATCTGTTTTGAAGGGAAAGATGAGCCCCTGAGCAGCATGCTTAAGAAATAACAGATACTTCCTAAGCAGCCTCCTGAAGCAGGCATGGCCAGTTCACTACTGGGCTAGTTTCTTCCTTTATTTTTTCAAATATTGTTATAAGTTCATCAATATTTTTATTTCAATGAGTTTTAATCAGTTGGAGTCTTTTTTACATTTAAATTTTAATTTTTTTAATGCTCAGTTTATCCTCTCTGCCAACAGGAGCCCCTTCAGGTTGGCTCCTTTGTCTTTTCGAAATGACCAATATCTTTGATTACTTCCTTTCTTTCTGGCACAAAATTACATCCCAAGCACCTTTTGTACATTTTCTGCCCAAGACGTAGCATCAGCCATTCTCCTAATGAGACATGGATTCTTTTGGTGCAGAATGATATTTAGGAACCACTTTCTGAATACTAAGAGTGCTTGCTCCTACTGCAGAGCTTTTGTTCTGCTGATTGGGGATGCAAGGTTGGGGCCAAAGCTGACTTTGTTGGTTTAGAGCAGGGCTTTGGCTGCAAATCTTAACTCGGCCTCTTACTAATGGTATAAGTTAATATAATTGCTTAACCATTACCTTTGTTTTCTCAACTATAAAGTAAGGATAATACCTTATGGGGTTTTTATAAGAATTTAATGAATTAGTATATATGAAAGTATAGTCATGTGCCACATAATGATGTTTTGGTCAACAGTGGGCCGCATATGTGATGGTGGCCCCATAAGATTGTAATGGAGCTGAAAAATTCCTATTACCTGGTGACTTAGCCGTCATAATGTGGTAGTGCAATATGTTATTAACGTTTGTGGTGATGCTGGTGTAAACAAATCTCCACTGCCAGCCCCATAAAAGTATAGCACATACAATTGTGTAAAAACATAATACTTAATAATGATAATAAATAGCTATGTTAAGTGTTTATGTATTTACTATACTATAGTTTTTGTCATTATTTTAGAGTATACTCCCTATATATATATTTAAAAAGTTAACTGTAAAACAGCCTCGGGCAGGTCCTTTCAGAAGGTATTCCAGAAGAAGGCATTGTTATCACAGGAGATAACAGCTCCTTGCCTGTAATTGCTCTTGAAGATTTTCCAGTAGAACAAGCTGTAGAGTTGGAAGACAGTGATATTGATGATCCTGACCCTGTGTAGGCATGGACTAGTGTGTGTGTTTGTGTCTTAGTTTTTAACAAAAAGTTTAAAAACCAAGAAATAAAAGATATTTTAAAAATAATTTTAAATTTAAAATTTAATTTTTTTAAAAATTTTAAAGATGTGGGGTACAATTCAGGGTTAGATATCCAAATGTTCATTATGCAGGTACCCTTGTTGATGAGGCGTGTTCCGTACCCCTGGCAGATTTCCACTACTGCCAATCCCGTGCCGCCCCCTGACAGTTTCCCACTACTGCCAATTCTTTTCTTATAGTATTACAGTAATAGTTCAAGGTCTGCTTATGAGTGAGAACATGTGATATTCAGTTCTTTGTTTCTGTGATAGATCACTCAGTATTTCTAAGTCCATCCAAGTTGCTGTGACGTTCATAATTTTGTCCTTTATGGCTGTGTAATATTCCATTGTGTATATGTACCACATTTTCAAAATCCAGTTCTTTTTCCATGGGCAGCACAGTTGGCTCCATGTTTTTGCAATTGTGAACAGTGGTGCAATAAACATGCATGTACAGGTATCTTTTTCATAGAGTGATTTGAGTTCCTCCGGGTATATTCCCAGTGGGTGGATTATGGGGGTCGTATAGAAGGTTGATTTTTAGATCTTTTAGGAATCGTCACACTGTTTTCCACAGAGGTTGTATTAGTTTACACTCCCACCAACAGTGTAGAAGTGTTCCTTTCCACAGCATCCTCTCCAGCATCTGTCCGTTTTTGAGTTTTTGATGATGGCCATCCTGACTGGAGTTAGGTGATATCTCAGTGTGGTTTTAATTTAAATTTCTTTGATGACTAGTGAGACTGAGCATTTTTTTCATGTAACTGTTGGCTGCTCATATGTCTTCTTTTGAGAAGTGTCTATTCATATTTTTGCCCATTTTTTGATGGGGTTATTTGTTTCTTTTCGGCACATTTGAGTTCCTTGTAGATTCTAGTTGTTAGGTCATTGTCAGATACACAGTTGGCACATATTTTTTCCCAGTCTCCCTGCTCTCTTGATGGTTTCTTTGGCTTTGCAGAAGCTTGTCAGTTTGATGAGGTCCTACTTGCCTGTCTTATCTCTTATGGCATGGGCACTTGGGGTTTTGATCAGGAATTGGTTGCCAATTCCAATTTCCATAAGGGTGTCTCCTGCATTTTCTAAGATTCTTATAGTTTGAGGTTTTATGTTTAGGTCTTTGATCCATTTGGAGTTGATTTTTGTGTATGGTGATAGGTAGGGGTCTTGTTTTAATCTTCCGTACACGGTCAGCCAGTTTTCCCAGCACCATTTGCTGAATAGGTTCTCCTCTCCCCAGTGGTTGATGGTGGAGGCTTTGTCAAAGATGAGTTGGTTGAGAAATTGAGGTTTTTCTTCTGGAATCTCTATCCTGTTCCATTGGTCTATATACCTGTTCTTGTACCAATACCAAGCTGTCTTGATTACTGTAGCTTTATAGTAGAGTTTAAAGTCTGAGAGTGTGATATTTCTCCCTTTTTTCTTTTTTGTTGAGGAGTGTTTTGGCTCTTCATGGTTGTTTATGTTTCCATAAATGAAAAGAAAAAAAGTAAGGATGTAAGAAAGAAATATTTTTGTTCATTGGTCTAATGTGCTTATGTTTTAAGCTAAGTATTATTACAAAAAAAAAAGATTAAAAAGTTTATAAAATAAAGAAGTTATAGTAAGTTAAGGTTATTGTCAGAGAAAAAAAATTTAAAAAATAAATTTAGTGTAGCCTAAGTGTATAGTGTTTATAAAGTATCTAGTAGTGTACTGTCATGTCCTAGGCCTTCACAGTCACTCACCACTCACTCACTAACTCACCCAGAGCAACTTCCAATCCTGTAAGCTCTATTCATGGCAAGTGAATATACAAAGGCACCATTTTTAATCTTTCATGCCATATTTTTACTATACCTTTTCTGGTTTTAGATAGTTTAGATATACAAATACTACTGTGTTATAGTTGCCTACAGTATTCAGTACAGGAATATGCTGCACCTGTTTGTATCCTAGGAGCTATCAGCTTTACTATATAGCCTAGGAATACAGTAGGCTATACCATCTGGGTTTGTGTAAGTACATGCTATGACATTGACACCATGATGAAATAGCCTTATGATGCATTTCACAAAATGTATCCCCATTGTTAAGTGACACATGACTATATTTTAAAGAGCTTCTAGCACAGTCCAATGTCCATAAACTGTTGTAATTGAAGGTGAGTCTGCATGTGGCTAGCAGTGGTCCTTCTCTATCTTCCACCAGGGAGCTCCCAGCACCACCTCTGAGTAAATGTTAGGAAAACATTGCAACAGCATTTATTTATGAGAAAGGCCACCAAGTTATCAGCTTGTTTCAGGCAACAGTCTTGTGTCCACCTCAGCCTGGGTTTGTGTTATGAATTTCTTGCTTATTTATCTGGAGACCCTTAGTGACTTACTGCTGGTATACTTGGGAAGTGAATAACTTAATGTTTTAAGATTGATCATACATTCATCATCATCATGCATTCATGTTTAGCATAGATGTTTTCAGGTTATGGAATACAAGTGGTATAGATTAAGTTAGATCCTTTTTTCTTTTTGCATTTAAGAGCAGCATGGTGAGATTCTCAGATGAAAACAGTTATCTATGTAACTTTTCACTTTCAAAAATTTAGAAATAACAAAATCAGAAATAGCTGTTTTCCAAGATGAAAATGTTTTTTAAGTTATAAAATTAATGCTCTGTAAAAATTAATGAAATATAGGAGTATAAAAGAAAAATCATCCAGATGCTAAAAGATAGATAGTGACTGTTACTTTTCCTATAAATATCCCTCTGTAGTCTCTATAATAGGAAGTATGACTTCAGTAGCAAGAAGAGGAAATGCATAAGTGTGGAACTACAGAGAAACTTACTCTACTTAGTATCTGTTAAAGGGGCCCTCCCTGGTTTGACTAAGTAAGCATTGTTTCTTTATAGTGTAGGACTCCCAAGTAAATCAAGTTTTGATTTTAGCCGTAATCTCTGTTTGAAGATTCAGTGCTCTGACTAGGGTAGTACAATCCTTTAATAAATTGTGTCCTAGGTCCCAGTTGTTATTCTGTTTTCTGAGTGGCCAATAGAAACCTGTGTCCTCCCTGGAGCTGCTTCTGCTGTTTAGTGCTGCTCAAGGATCTCATGGGACAGAAAGTATAAGGAATGCTTATGTGTTTTTTTGCTCCCTTCCTCTGTGTACACACAGACAATGCAAAGTGCTCTGCTGTGTAGTTATACAGACTTCTTACACTGTTCTACTAAGTCTGATTATAGTACAGTGCTTTTCTACTTGAGTACCCAACATAGCAGTGGCATCATACTTTAATGCCTAACATTAAATTTATTATAGAAAGGACACGCCTTTACTAAACCATTCCAGAAAGTATAGATAGCATCATATATTGACTATATTTTAACTCCTGATCTCTTAGTCCCTTTAAAGCAAAGCCAAGTTTGTTCTTATGAGTTTGCTATGAAACTGATTTCCATTTTAATCTTCTTTCTCCCACTGTACAAGTATGTGACTTTTCTCTTTCTATTTTCTTTTCAAATCCTTTAGGTTTTGAGAGATGGGTGAGGTTTTTTCCTTGAGATGATGGGGCAGGCATTGGCTGGGGAAACAAACTGGGTGTGGCTCCCCCCTTACCCCCCCCAAAGAACTGATCATTCTAGTACTTTTTTTGCCCTCTGCGTTCTTACCTTTTTGCTTAAATGAACTACATGATCTTAACTGCCTGTGAGTTCTTTTTATATGATGTTTTCCATAAGTTTGTTGTTACTTGCTGTGTAAGATGACTTCAAAATGTTATATGTTATTTACTGATATTTTAAGGGCTGACATTTAGCAGAATTGCAAACATTTCAAAGTACCTGTAGTATTAAAGTTCTTACTGTAAAATCTAAACTTTTAACATCTCTTTAAAAAAATTTAAATTGGACTGTTTGCCTTTTAGGGTTTAGGGAAAGAGGAGCCTCAAAGTGAGAAACAGATCAAAAAGAGTCCTTCACTAACTTCAGAAAAGAGGTTAAGTAGAGTGCCATCAAAATCACTGGACTTGAATAAAAATGAATATCTTTCTCTGGACAAAAGCAACACTTCAGATTCTATTGATGAAGGTAAATAATTTCTTGTACATTTTAATACAATTTCAGTTATGTCTTTTAATATTCTCCTTTGTAATTAGGGAGTTTCAGATTGAGACTTTAGTTGTACTAGAAACAATCTTACCCTATAAGGAACCCCAAAAAGGAGGGGAAGTTTATAGAAAATAGGAGAAAGGTTGCTAAGTCTAACTCAACTCTACTTCCTTCAGAAACCTGGAATTCAAAAATCTTCATCACATTTGGCTTTTAAAATTACAAACCTTAAGGCAATGAATGGATGTGGAGCAGTAGGTGTGGAAAAGCAAATCTCGTAATAAAAATCTACATGCCAGCTTCTATATACCAGACAGTGTAAGATGCTCATGCTTTATAGGTAGAGTGACCCACTAGCTCATCTGGGTACTCCTCATTTTATTGGCGGGGAAAACAAGACCTAGAGGGGCTAAATCCAAAATCATGCCATTAGTTAACTATGCAGGGTTAGAATTAGTGATCAGGTATCTCACGCTAATACTTACCAAATTATTTTTTCTTTTCTTCTTCTTTTTTTTTTTTTTTTTAAAAGACATTTTAGCCGGGCTCGGTGGCTCAGCCTGTAATCCCGCGCCTTTGGGAGGCTGAGGTGAGTGGATTGCCTGAGCCCGTGGGTTTGAGACCCGCTTGGGCAGCAAGACCTCATTTCTACAATAGATAAAAAAATCAGCCGGGCGTGGTAGCGCATACCTGTAATTCCGGCTACTTGGAAGGCTGAGGCGGAAGGATCGCTGGAGCCCAGCAGCTCAAGGCTGCGGTGGCCGGGAGCAGCCACTGCTCTCCAGTCTGGGCGACAGAGTGAGACTCCAACTCAAAAAAAAAAAAAAAAAGATATTTTAGCAAAAGTTACCCTAAGCTTGTTTTGTGTGTGAATGCAAGTAGTCATGGCCAGGGTGCAGTCTAAGATGAATATTTATTTAAATTATTGTATAGCTTCCAAAAGCAAATAAAGGTCTTCAAAATTTTTAGAAAGGAAATTCTTCTATCAGTAAATGACTTTTTAAAAAAAGTACTTACAGGTGATACTCAGAATACTCAGCTTTCTGCGTGTGATGAAGCAAGCTTTTGACTGTGGTTACGTTTTAGAGCAACGGGATGAGTTTTTGAAAGCAGGAACATGGACGATCCATCATAACTGCTCCTGAATTTGATTTGTTTTTACTGTAGTAAACTTCCATTTAATTTTAATTTACTCTTGGAGGAACAATTTATATTTTAAGTTTATTGCAAAGACAAATGATAATATTCTATATGGTATTGAAAAGCAACTTATAGCCGGGCTTGGTGGCTCAGCCTGTAATCCCAGTGCTTTGGGAGGCTGAGGTGAGTGGATTGCCTGAGCCTGTGCGTTCGAGACCCACCTGGGCAACTTGGTGAGACCTCATCTCTACAATAAATCAAAAAATTAGTCGGGCGTGGTAGTGCGCGCCTGTAGTTCCAACTACTTGTAAGGCTGAGGCGGAAGGCTCGCCGGAGCCCAGCAGGTCGAGGCTGTGGTGGCCGGGAGCGGCCACTGCACTCTAGTATGGGTGACAGAGTGAGACTCCAACTGAAAAAAAAAAGAGAAGCAACTTATTTGGTTTTAGAAGGCCAGCAGAGCCTTTATTCTATATTAGCTTAGTTGTACTATAATGATAAATAATAATCAGAATGATGACCCAAAGGCCTTCTGAATTTTAAAAGTATATTCTGGATGATCTTTAAAATTATGTGTTTTATATTGTAATCTATGCATACTTGGGGTCTTGAACGGGCTCAACAAATAGCAGTCCTTTGTGACCATCTCTGTTGTAATCAAATTGGGAAAGACAAAAAGAACACGTCAGATAGAGGACAAAACATCATCTCTGATACTAACAGTGACAAGGTTAGAGGGTGTAGGTGTGTGTGAAAGATAAGTGGGCTGCTGATGGAGCTGAAGAGTGAGGTAGACTTAGCCACCAGTCACAGGCAGAGGGAAGAACCTCTCTGGAGGAGTCCTACTTCTGTGGGCACCTAGATCCCAGAAGCAAGGAGGAGAGAGGTATGCCATGCCTACCCAATGCACTCCTTCCATGTTTACTGTTTTGGTTTGTTCAGGTTGCCATAACAAAATACCACAGACTGGGTGGCTGAAACAACAGAAATTTACTTTCTCATAATTCCGGAGGATAAAAGTCTCAGATCAAGGTTTGGAAAAGTCATTTTCTGGTGGGGCTCCCTTCCTGGCTTGCCACCTTCTCACTATGTCCTCATATGGCCTTAGGGCATGCTCTCAGAGGGGAGGGAGATGGAGAAAATATAACAAAAACAAGCAGTAGTTGTTCAAAGAAATTTGAGTACTGATAACTTGGGGCTTGTCATGCTTATTAAGTGGGCATTTTAAGGACCTTTTTTTAAAAATTATAAGATCATTGACACTGAAGTTAGTGCAGTGGGAGATACTGGAAAAGACCAAGGATAGTGGCTCTTGTATCAGTGCCATTTACCATTCATGCTTTAGTATGCATTAGGGCACTTATTAGTCCTACCCTGCTTGACTGAACTTAGGACTTTAGGAAGATCTACCCTGGCCCCCAGTGGCCAAATAGGTTAGTGACACTAAAACAAGGATTTTTTTTTTTCTTTTTTACCTGTTTTAAGAATGATCTTTAAAAAGTTTCGTTATTGAGTTCCTAAAAGTAACATTAATGATAAGTTACATAAAGGATAATATTAAAACTTATAAAAACTGTGTGCATATGTAGAAATAAAGAACTTGCCTGTACAATGAGCATTTGTATACCTAATCCTGAATTGTACCCCATATCTTTAAAGTTAAAAAAAAAAGAAAAGAAAGAACGATAGTGATATAGCTTCTGTTTTGCATGTGAGCCCCCTCACAACGTATGTCTTGCAGGTGCCCCTTTCAAGACTGTCTGGCTTCAGCAGTGAGAATTTACATGTCACATTCAGCCCTCTGTTGGTAGAAGTTTTATTTAAGGGATATGGTGGTTTTTTTCTTATGAGAATATCACTAGATGACAAATCTACTACTCCTACTGCTTTCCCTGAGTTCCCAAATCTTGAACTTGTCATAAGTATTAAATGGGCATGACAGTGCCTATTTAAAATTTTTTTTTAAGTTGTGAAGTTATGAAGACTCTTGAAGTCAGTGAACTGAGGAGACAATAGAAGTGTGTGTGGGTTTAGAGGAAACTGGATGGATAGCAGATCACTTTAAACTAAATGTCGTTTTGTTTAAAAATGGTAGTTTTTGATCTACTATAGTGAGCAGGCTGAGTGGGAAAATGAGAATACTTCTTTTTTTCTCTTTTCTACCACTCGTAGGCTATAATTTTTGGGAGCGGGGCACTGGGTGGTTTTGATATGAGAGACTCTAGACCCATGAATTCCTATCAGTAAATCAACAAAGCAGAGCATCGTAAAATGTCTCACGGAGGGGCCTGAAGTAACTTCAGTAGCTCAGTCCCTTTGATGTGGAATTTAACTGAAGCCCAGAGAGAGAAAGTTAGACTAGAATCTGCTCTGACTGGCTTCTTTTTAAATGCATCTTACTCTGTACTAGGCGGTTTAGAGGCAACCAAAATTGAAGGGTACTTTTTAAAGAATATTTCTGTACTTCCAGCTGCTGAGCAAAATCTTATGCATTGTGTTTTAATATGTTAAACCATGTGACTAATTAAAAACTTTAATATATAATAATTCATAGGATAAGCTACATAATTCCTTTGTTTATCTAAAGGGTTACTGCTGATAGTGTTTTTCCAAGCTAAGGAAAGCTGATAATCTTGACCAGTTTGGGGGAGTAGTTTAGAACATCTTGAGAAGATGCTAGGAGTTTACTGGTATATGAAGATGAATTGACATGATGTATCCATATCCACAAGTAGAAATAAGTTATGGCTATGTTTTTGAGGGTATATTTCTACTACTGTCAGGATTTACTTCTTCCCCCTTCCCTGTTCTGTTTGTCATGAGCAGTCTTGTGAAACGTCTGCCCAGGAGGTGGAGTCATGAGTGGAAGCTGACAAATTGGCTGAGGGTATGAGACACCTGGGCTGTGTCACGGTGATAGAACTTGCTTTCCCAACCAAAGTCACTGATGCCAAGAATGGAAGCTAAACGTGAAGCAAAGATTAGGTTGTAGGAGGGACACGTAAGAATAGCAAGATTGGAATAAAATAACTATTCATGAATCCAACTGACATAAATAAATGATTTTTTAAAATGTAGAAATGGGGGAGAAATCTTCCTTACAGTGTTCCAAATAATGTATGTAGATACTTCCCTTTTCCAGGAGTGGAGCTTAGTTCTCCTCCCTTGTAGTATGAGCTGAACTTAATGACTCATTTCCAATAAATGGGATATAGCAAAGGGGAACATAGTAATTTTACAGTGGAGAAATCTTCTAGACACTTTCTTAACCAAGTGATCAAATGTTAGCATCACTGTGCATCACATTGACATCTTGTATTTCCTGAGTTTGGTAATAAGGATGCTTTACCTTTATGGTAATCTTTCAAAAAATCCATAGTCTCAGACTAATCATGAAAAAACATGAGATGATTTCAAATTGAGGGGCATTCTATAAATATCTGACCAGTACTCTTTAAGTGTCAAGGTCATAAAAAACAAGGAAAGAATGAGAAGCTGTCAGAGATTGTGGGAGACTAAGGAGACATAACAACTAAACGTGGCATGGTATTTTGGATTTGATTCTTGTACAGAAAAGGATATTATTGGGGGAAAAAAGTAATGAAGCCTAGTTTCATTAGTTGTAAATTTCAAATTATTCTAAAGTGAAAAAAAATTTTAAATATGGTTGTAAATTCAAAGTCCTATAAATAAAAAAAATAGGAGTAAAACTAGTTTTGTTCATTGTAAATCTCATATTATTCCAAAATAAAAAGTTTTTAAAAATATGGTTGCAGATTCAAAGTCTTATGAATAGAAATAGATCCTAAGATATCTTTAGCATTTCCAGTAGTAATTTATTCACTCAAAATAGATATTTAACACTTCTTATGTGCCAAGCACTGAATGTACATACATGTTTAAAATCAACATGGTCTTCACTCATGTGGAACTTAGATAATAAATGAGATAATAAGCCAATAAAAATATAATTGCAAATCAGGATAGGTTCTATGAAGGCAGGATCAATAGAATCACTTATATTTGTTAGCTTTATTTGTGAACATGAGTATTTGAATTATTTTTAGAATAAGCATATAATACTTCTATGTCAGATAAAGCTGTTTCCCAAATCTAATTGGGAAGTTACCTCACAAAACCTTTGCAAATTGCTTAGTTTCACGATTCATTTCTACACGGAAGGAAATTATTTGAAATTGAAGGAAATTATTTGAAATTGCAGTGAATAGTTTTTTTCTACGTATAGCATTGTTACAGAGAAGGCAAATCAGTATCTACCTGATATCCTTGTTCTTTGCACCAGAGCAAAACAGATAGGCCCAAATCATCTAATGAGGGAGAAATAGCAACAGTTGGGGATGAAGCCAGGGCCAGAGGGTTTTTCTGATCTGTAGGTGACAGGTGCTTTATACGGATAATTCTTAGAGCTTGATTTCTGAAGCATGGGTGGCTTTTGTCACAATTTTCATTCTGTGTTGATGGAACTTAATCCTAGCAGTAATAGTGAGTAATCCTGGTCCTGGAGTTATTAACACTTCGTATTGGATTGCTTTCTGCTACTTCTTTTATTACACCAGGCTGCTATTCCTAGCTGTCACTTTGTTCTTTTTCTTTTTTTGATTCTTCTAAGTTAAGCTCCTTCTGGCTGTATAAAATAGAGATTAATTTTTGTGCTCTGGAGCTGGAGTGAGTTCAAATTCCAGATCAGTCATTCACTAGCATGGAACCTTGGCAGTTCTCTCTGTGCCACAGTTTCCTCATCTGTACAATGTACATGATAATGATAATACCACTTATCTCGTAGGATTGCATTGAAGATAAAATGAGTCAATATGGGTGGTGCGGTGGCTCACACCAGTAATCCCAGCACTTTGGGAGGCCAAGGTGGGAGGATTGCTTGAGGTCAGGAGTTTGAGACCAGCCAGGGCAATATAACATAACCTTGTCTCGAAAGAAAGAAAGAAAGAAAGAAAGAAAGAGAGAGAGAGAGAGAGTGAGAGAGAGAGAGAGTGAGAGAGAGAGAGAAATAAATAAATTAACTGGATGTAGTGGTACGTGCCTATAGTCCCAGTTACTTCATTCACTTGAGCCTAGGAGTTTGAGTGACAGATGGAGACCCTGACTCAAAAAAAAAAAAGTAAGTCAATACTTGTAAGGTGCTTAGCACAATGTCTAACATATAGTAAGTACCATGTAAGCATGGATTATTTGGTATAATATTTCCAGGGAATATGAGAAGAGGCAAGCAGATATTAATTACTTCTTCATTTGTGACCAATGGTATTCAATATCATTATCAAGTTCCCAGAAAAAAATGTAATATTCCACTGTGCATTATTCAGCTTTGAAGAATACTTTTTAGAAAGATCTATGAGTTCTTTTAAAGTATGGTATTGAGAATAGGTTGTGAATATAGTTATTCTTGTCTTGGAGCATTCAGCATTAAGTCAAGTTGAAACATTGAGGCTGACAAGCTAGTGAGTGCAGCAGATGTTATAGTCATTGATTACTTAGTAGTTACAGAATGTATGAGCATTCAGAAATAGAACTTGCTAATTGCTGTGGTAGATGCCATCCAAGTGTCCCTCTGTTGCCCTTGTCCTTCTGTTGCCCTTGTCACTCTTGAGATATTCTTTTTTTTTTTTTGAGTTGAGTCTCACTCAGTTGCCCAGACTGGAGTGCAGTGGCCGCTCCCGGCCACCACAGCCTCGCCTGCTGGGCTCCAGCGATCCTTCCGCCTCAGCCTTCCAAGTAGCTGGAATTACAGGCATGTGCTACCATTCCCGGCTGATTTTTAAAATTTTTATTGTAGAGATGAGGTCTCGCTGTCCAGGCGGGTCTTGAACCCGCGGGCTTAGGCAATCTACTCACCTCAGCCTCCCAAAGGCATGGGATTACAGGCTGAGCCACCGAGCCCGGCTTCTTGAAATATTCTTTTGTGTGATATACTACTACCTTTTTGGGGTCTTGACAATTGAAATATTGATCATATGTAGTTTAGGGAACTATTATTATGGTTATGTATAGTTTGTACAGTGCATATGTGTATGGTTCCAATTTGGAGTTTTAATAGTCTCCTGGAATGTTCTGACCATTGTAGTCAGACTTAGAAATCATTTTGTGCCAAAAATAAAACAAACAAAAAACCACACAAAAACTCTAAAACCTTAAAATTACCTTTCCGTGATTTCTTCTATTTTGATCTGTTTTTTTTTCTAGAAAATATTCCTGAGAAAGATCTTCATGGAAGACTTTATATCAATCGTGTATTTCATATCAGTGCTGAGAGAATGTTTGAATTACTCTTTACCAGTTCACGTTTTATGAAGAAATTCACCAATTCTAGACATATAATAGGTTGGTCCTTATATTCTTAACTAATGATAAAATCGAGAGAGTTTTATTATCCTTAGAGGGCTGAGCCTATATAAACTGATTTATGTTGTGAGAGGGAAAATTAGACATGCTGTGATTTTATTTTGGTGATATACAAACTGGTACTTAAGTGTTTGGTTAAATTTCACATGTGTATAGTATAATTATTTAAGTTCAGACCCTTTGAAAACTAAAAGTACCTTTACCAATCAAGGAACAAATTGAGTTGGGTTGAACCCAGTTCAAAAGGGTTCTATTGTGAAATAATTAAATGTTGGTGGAACAACCACTTTTCCAAAATGTTTGGCAGTATCTACTAAGGCTATGAAGTCTCAAAAGTTCATAAGACTCAAAAATTTCACTCCTAGGTACACATCCATCAGAAAGAAATACATTTGTACTCTGAATGACATACTACAGTGCTGATAGCACCATTATTTATAATGACCTAAATCTCAGAACAGTCCAAATATATCAGTAACAGAATGGATAAACAAATTGTGTATGTTCTTACAAAAGTATACTATACAATAATGAAAAAAGCACAAACTACTGCTACTTATAATAATATGAGTGAATTCACAGCACAATTTAAGCAAAATATGCCAAATACAAAAGAGTACATACTATATAATTTCTTTATGTGAAATTAAAAAACAGCCAAATCAAATGTATGAACATAAAATCAACATTGTAGTTACTGTTGTGGAGAGTCAAGTACAGACTGGGAAGGAGCTTGTGGGATGCTGGTTTAATTCTATGTCTTGGCTATGGTAACACGTGTGTGTTCCCTTTGTGAGATGATAGCGTCTACAGCATACTTCACTGAAAAAGCAAAAAAAGTTCCATTTAGGACATTGGTTATACTCATAAGAAGGATTTCATTGATTATGTGTTAAAAGTTCTATTTTGGTAAATATCTCAAATAAGCTCAATAAGCTTATAATTAGTTTGAAACAGAATTTATTGCAAATATTTCAGATATTTTATTAACTTTGGGAGCACATGATTAACTTGCTATATAAAATTACAACAGCAGCAGCAGGGATTCACATAAGGTGAGTTATTTGACATAGTCAAAGAGAAAGTTATTCTGTAGCCAATAAATATAGTTTATAATTTAGGCATTTTATTAATTTCATTGTGTTATTTCTTTATTTGAAATCTTTATGTACACATAATTATATATTCATAGATATATAATTGATATGCATTCTGTACAAAAATCATTTTTTCTTACTCAGAGTAGCAGGCATTTCTAATTGATAGCTATTGAGTCTTGTTATGATATTAAAAGTTTCATAGTTTTTAAAAATTGTTTTTTTTGTTCTTCCAGTCTTAAAAATGTGGAATATCTGAGAGATGTAAATCTTCCTTTTTACTCAGTAGCTTTTATTTAACATATTATATCCCTTCTAATATATTTTGTATTTTCCTATTAGTGTTTTCTACCCGGAGAATTTGATATTTCAGAAGAGTTGGATACATTATTTCTCGTATTTTTTTTTTATTAGATGATGTCTGCTAAAAAGCTGCCATTTTTATAGCTGAAAAGACCCACTAGCATCTTACATGTTATTCCGTGCTGGTGCTAAATGAAGTTCTTTTTTTGAAACACAACAAACACAACTGCATTTGTTGTCTGATATCATGTCTGTCTTCAATATGAATGACTATATCTACTATCTGATGTTGTACATGACTTTGGGAAGCAAAGACTTCTGGCTAATTCCAAATCCAAACAGTTACAGACATATTGCTGGCTAGACCTAGAATTAGTCAGAGCTTTGCCTCAAAAGAGAATGTGATAGTGACTGCAAATTATACTGCTGTCCTCTGGTCTTGTTACCTGGCAATCAAAGTTGTTATTTCTTGAGATTGAGTTCCAAAGTCTTCTTTGAAAAAAAATTAAGATTTTAATGATTCTTTTGTATAATAAGTTATTTGTGGTTAATCTGATTCCAGCATTAAAATGTCTGCTATTAAATCAAATTACATTTTAAATTAGAGCTTTTAAATCTGTGTTTTTTAAAGTATTTTTTTATAGTTCTATGATATTAATTTTAATTAAAAGTTAAGTTTTAAGCCTTTTTACCCAAATTTTTCATTTGAAAGTATAAACCTTCAGAAAAGTTGCATGAATAGAATAATAACACCCATATACCCTTCATCTAGAGTCATCAATTTTTAAATTTTGGTAAAGTATACATACCATAAACTTTACACTTTAACCTATTTTAGGTGTTCAGCTCACTGACATTAAGTACACTCACATCGCTGTGCAACCATCACCATCATCTATCTTCAGAACTTTTCATCTTTCTAACTGAAACTGTACCTGTTAAACAATAACCTTTCCATTTTCCCCATCCCCAGTTCCTGACAATCACCACTCTAATTTCTGTCTCTATGAATTCGACTATTCTGGGTACCTCATAAAAGTAGAATCATACAATATTTGTCCTCTTGCGACTGGTTTATTACACTTAGCATAATGCTTTCAAGGTTCATTCATGTTGTAGCATGTGTCAGAATGTTATTCCTTTCTAAGGCTTTCCATTAATGACAGTTGGGTTGTTTATACCTTATATCTATTATAAGTATTGCTGCTAGGAACATTGATGTACAAATACCTGTTCAAGTATTTGCTTGCAGTTCTTCGGGGTATACACCTAGAAATAAAACAACTGCATCATACAGTAAGTAACTCAATGCTTAATTTTTTGAGGAACTGCCATACTGTTTTCCATAGTGACTGCACCATTTTACAATCCCACCAAAATAATGCACAAAGGTTCCTATTTCTCTACATCCTCAGCAACACTTGTTATTTTTTTTTTAATAATAGCCATCCTAATGTGTGTCAAGGTTCACCAGTTTTAAAACTTTATTGCATCAAAGGATTCTTAAAATTTTGCATTCCTGACTTTTATTATGTTTGCTCAGTGTATCAAAATGGCTCATGTGTTCTTTTGGGTACTGTAGCCATTTTCTTATTTATTACAGATTTTTTAATATTATGATGAGCTTTAATTAGGTATTGGATTAACTATTTCAAGATGAGAGTAATCAGGTAATGTTCTGGCACTCGATATTCAGTGGTCCTTGTTGGGTGAAAATATGTGTATCATTCATGAGAAGAAATACTTTTATTTGTTGATACTTGCTTTGTTGCATAATGTGCAGATTTAAAGCAGAATTAAATGACATCTCTAAATTCTGTTTCTGATTAGCAATGGATTATTTATATCATTTTCCTGAAACAGACTGACATATGACCAAAGTAATCTTCTGAAAAGAATTTTAGAATTAATTGTATATCTTCTTTCATCTATACCTAATAAATCATCTTTACAGCAAATCCTGGATGTTAGATTCCATGGTTTGTGATATTGTCCTTTTAATTTCGTTGCAAGATTGTTGCCAGATACTCAAAAGGCAACTTCAGGATTCCTCATTAAATCCCCAGGCCTAGCTGTATAAAAGAAATTGAATACAATTGATTATATCCTAAAGCCTTGCTGTATTCCTTTGATAATGGTCATAGGTGTTAGTTAAAGACTCTTATACTTTAGAATGTTGGTGAATAGCAAATAAACATACTGGTACTTGTGTAAGTCCATTTGTGCTGGCAGCATTAGGTGGTTTAATCAGGTCTTTGAATGGAGTTCATAATGATATTATCTTTACTATCCTAATTTCTGGCTTGCATGAAATAACCTTCACTGTATAGTTCTGTTTCTAAAGCTACATTTCTGTTCAAGTGTGTTTTTATTCGCTGTGTTATTCCAAAGCAAATAAAAGAGAATTTTGACCAAGATCGTGCCATAAGTATAGAGATATGATCTTAATTTTCTTAATATAGAAAAGGTTATATACTCATTTATGTTCCATTGCTTCACCTTGAATAAAGACGTCAGCAGACAAGGCACTAATATGATTTCTTATAACATTGACACGATTTCTCTTCAAGTTGATATCATAGTATATTATTGCATAATGACAAATGTCTTTCAAAGTTTTTCTCAATGATGGCAATGTTAAAATGTGTTCTGTCTCTGTTTGATAAGGCTGGTGTTATTATTTCTCTTCACAAGTACTGGGAACTTAAAAAAGAAGCCTACAGATGAACAAACTTTTAACTTTATCTTCTAAAAAAGGGAAAATACATTAATAGAAAAAAATTAGAAAAAATGGATCAGAGTTGGGGAATATGTCACATCTAAGAAGGGTGCCTAACATTTAATCTGCTTTTTTCTTTAATGTTAAATTTATAACATACTAACAACTGAAAAGTTTAGGATTGGTCAAAAATAAAAATTTAATTCTAAAAACTACCCTTTTGATTCTGTTTAAAGTCATACACTTCGAATTTCTAGAACTAAACTCGTTTTATGTTTGCTGTGATTAGATGTAGTATCTACCCCTTGGACTATAGAACCTGGAGGTGATCAACTGAGAACTATGACCTACAGGATAGTTCTTAATAATCCACTTACTGGAAAATGCACTGCTGCCACTGAAAAACAGGTACGTCTGCTCTGTCTGTTCCAAAAGAGTCGTGCCTGTGGGAAGATAGAAGATGCCTGCCATAGTCACCAATTTACAAGACAACCACAACAAATAAATGACAAGAAAAAAGGGAGAAGAAACAATTACAGGTTAAAACAGATGTAGGAGGCTTACAAAACATATCAACTCAGTTCTAATTCAAACTAACTACCTGTTACAAAGGTATTTATGAGATTTAAGGAATTTTTCATGTTTAATAATGGCATGATAGCTATATTTCAAAGAAAGTAGTATTTATTTTTTAAAGAAAAATACTGAAGTGTTTATGGATGAAATTATATTGACGACTGGGATTTCCTTTAAAATGAATCTAGCCAGCCAGAGGATGGTGGTGAAGAGAGGGATGTGGGAATGGAGGACAGATGCAAAAGACGGGGAGGGAGTTAATATTGAAGCTGGTTGATGAGCTCATGAGGGTCATTACACTTCAGATTTTAAAAAGAGCACTACTGACATCTGATTTACAGGATCAGGTCAAGGGTTAGAACCAAGTAACTAGGTAGCTATTGTGACATATGGGAAATGATTGAATTTTTGAAATTGCATTCTATACAAGCTATTTAATGTTCCTCCTCTGTGACTAGCGTGGCACTGTCTTACAGTGGAATAGGTGTTCGGTCAATTTGTGTTGAAGAATCTGTTTTGCAACTAGTCTGAAAATATCTCTTTACATCTGAACCAGTAGTGCTCTTATAGTTTTGTCCATCAATATTAAAGACTTATTTCCTTTAAAAAACTCTTAAAGGATTGTCAAACATCTAAGAAAAGTCTTATTTTGATACTGGGGATTTTTTGGTAACTTTGGAAACCTTTTTTACCCCTTCTTAAAGAAAAGGTAGAAAAGGTGTGGTTAAAATGAGGAAAGGTTTGCCCATAGACCATGTTTAGATCCTGTTTAGGTGAGTGATATTTTCTTTGGTTACCACCCTCTTTCACTTTTTTTGATGAAGGGTAGTTTTGTTAAGTTTGACGAGTTTTGAGTGGGGTCCTTATTTTGTTCAATTGACTTTTGAATTGTTCCCCTAAGAGGAACATTAAAAGCTCTTTATAAACTAAAAATACATATAAGAGATTATATGTTTTTTTTCTTTTGCCTAAAAGAAAAAAAAATAATGGTATAACAATACAACTGAGAGGCAGTAAATACTATTTCTGCAAATAGCCTCCAGCATGGAGAGTCTTCTAGCTTTGTATTTAGGTTTCTCATGTTCTTTGTAGTTTCTTTTTTTTTTAAGATGTGGTGTACAATTCTTAGAAGTATAAATAGTCATTGTACAGGTAAAATTTGAGCCTCACTTTGGTCCCCACGTCATGTGATTTGAGATCAAGTACACTTCTTGATGAAGTGTGCCCCTTGGCTCCCTGCCCTGGCAGTTTCCCACTACTGCCAATCCCTTTCTTGTAGTATTATGATAATTGTTCAGGGTCAACTTATGAGTGAGAACATGTGGTACTCAGTTCTTTGATTCTGTGATAGATCACTGAGTATTACAGACTCTAAATCCATCAAAGTTGCTGCGAAATTAATAATTTTGTCCTGCTTTATGGCTGCATTGTGTATATGTACCACATTTTAAAAATACAGTCTATTCAACAGGCAGCACGGTTGGTCACATGTTTTTGCGATTGTGAATAGTTCTGCAATAAACATGCATGAGCAGGTATCATTTTTGTAGAATGATATGAGTTCTTCCAGGTATATTCACAGAAGGGGGATTGCTGGGTCGTATGGGAGGTGGATTTTTAGATCTTTTAGGAATCACCACACTGTTTTCCACAGAGCTTGTACTAGGTTACATTCTTACCAACAGTGTAAAAGTGTTCCCTTTTCCCCCACATCCTCTCCAACATCTCTTGTTTTTGTTATTGTTGATGACCATCGTGACTGGAATTAGGTGGTATCTCAGTGTGGTTTTCATTTGCATGTCTTTGATGACTAGTGAGACTAATCATTTTTTCATATATCTGTTAGCTGCTCATATGTCTTTTTTTGAGAAGTATCTATTTATATCTTTTGCTCAGTTTGTAATGGGACTGTTTGCTTTTTTCTTATCGGCATGTTTGAGTTCCTTGTAGATCCTAGATGTTAGGCCTTTGTCAGATATACAGTTGGCAAATATTTTGTCCCAATCTGTGGCCTGTCTCCCCACTTTCCTGATAGTTGCTTTTGCTTTGCAGAAGCCTTTCAGTTTGATGAAGTCCCACTTGTCTATCTTATCTTTTATGGCATGGTCACTTGGGGTTTTGATCAGGAATTGGTTGCCAGTTCCAATTTCCATAAGGGTGTCTCCTGCATTTTCTAAGGTTCTAATAGTTTAAGGTTTTACATTTAGGTCTTTGATCCATTTAGAGTTAATTTTTGTGTATGGTTATAGGTAGGGATCTTGTTTTAATCTTATGCATGTGGTCAGCCAGTTTTCCCAGCACCATTTACTGAATAAGTTCTCCTCTCCCCAGTGGTTGTTAGTGGAGGCTTTGTCAAAGGTGATTTGGTTGAGAAATTGAGTTTTTCTTTCTGAATCTCTATCCTGTTCCATTGGTCTATATGCCCTTTCTTCTACCAATACCAGGCTGTTTGGATTATTGTCACCGTATAATAAAGTTAAAGTCTGGAAGTATGATACCTTCTGCTTTGTTTCGTTTGCTGAGGATTGTTTTGGCTCTTCGTGGTTGTTTATGCTTCATATGAATTCCTGTATTATTGTTTTCAGGTCTGAGAAGAATGCTGCTGGCAATTTAGTGGGTATTGCATTAATCTGTAGGTTGACTTGGGTAGGATGGACATCTTAACAATGTTGATTCTTCTAATTCATGAGCATGGATTATTTTTCCATTTGTTTGTGTCATCTTTGATTTCTCTGAGCAATGTTTTTTAGTTTTTGTTGTAAAGGTCTTTCACTTCTCTGGTTAGGAAGATGCTGAAGTATTTCATTTTTTTGGTGATTATTGTGAATGGGAATGTGCTTTTTATTTGGTTCTCTGCCTGTTTGTTGTTGGTGTATAAGAATGCTACTGTCTTTAGCACATTGATTTTGTATCCTGAGACTTTGCCAAAGTACTTTATTAGTGCAAGAAGGTTCTTGACAGATTCTCTTGGATTTTCAAGGTATAGAATCATGTCATCTGCAAAGAAGGATAACTCGACTTCCTCTTTCCTGACTTGGATACCCCTGATTTCCTTCTCTTGTCTGATTGCTCGATCTAGGACTTCCAACACTATGTTGAACAAGAGGGGTGAAAGTGGGCAGCCTTGTCTTGTTCCAGTTTTCTGGGGAAATGCTTCCAATTTTTGTTCATTTAGCAATATGTTGGCTGCAGCTTTATCATAGATGGCTCCTACTATTTTGAGGTATGTTCCCTCTATGCCTAGGTGTTCAAGGGTTTTTATCAAGTAGGGATGCTGGGTTTTATTGAAAGCTTTTTCTGCATCTAATGGTATAACCGTGTGATTTCTATTGTACATCTGTTGATGCATTTAATTACATTTATGGTCTTGCGGATGTTGATCCAGCCCTGCATCCCAGGGATGAAGCCTACTTTGTCATGGTGAATGATTTTTGAGATGTGTTGTTGGATCCAGTTTGCTAGAATGTTGTTGATTATTTTCGCATCTATGTTCATCAGAGATATTGACCTGTAGCTCTCTTTCTTTGTTGGATCTTTACCTGGTTTGTATATCAGTGTGATGCTAGCTTCATAGTCCTTTGTAATTTCTGAGGAAGAATCCTAGTATGTATGTTCTAAATTGGCAAGAAACTTTATATATTAAGTATGTGCATGCAAATAATTTTAAATCTTATTTTGGCAGACACTATATAAAGAAAGTCGGGAAGCACAGTTTTATTTGGTAGATTCAGAAGTACTGACACATGATGTCCCCTACCATGATTACTTCTATACCCTGAACAGATATTGTATCATCCGATCTTCAAAACAGAAATGCAGGCTAAGGTGAGCTACTATAAATGAGCATGTTAGGATAGGCTAGGTAATACTCTGGTAATTTATAATCCTGAATTCTAAGTAGTAGCTTTACATGACAAAGCTTTGTTTCTTGCTCAAATTGTATGTCCAGTAGTGGTGAGCAGAAGGGTGGGGCTTCTCATTCAAGGGCCCAGCTGATGAAGACTTTGACATCCTGGAGCTACATGATCCAGAACATAGATTTGCAAAAAGAAAAAGTTCTAGCTGGGCATGGTGGCTCACACCTGTAATCCCAGCTCTTTGGGAGGCGAGAGGATTGCCTGAGCCCAGGGGTTTGAGACCAGCCTGGGGAAATTGGCAAGATTGCATCTCTTCAATTAAAAAAAAGTCTCTACAATAAATAAATAAAATTAACCATACATAGTGGCACGCGCCTTTGGTTTCGGCTGCTTGGAAAGCTGAGGCAGAAGGATCGCCTGAGCCCAGCAGGTCGAGGCAGTGGTGGTCATTAATGTGCCTCTGCACTCCAGCCTGGGTGACAGTGAGACAATGATTTAAAAAAAAAAGTTCTAGAATTATGCTCATGATCCATTGACTAGAACCAGACACGTGACCCTGTTTAGTGTCAAGGGCGCTGAGAGTTCTTGGGGAGCATATAGTATGCAGTAACTAACTCTGATGCAATGGGAAAAGAGAAATGTTGGTGCATTACAGAAAGTGATGGGCTGTCATATGCTTGACCAAGTCATAGTTAATATAGTTACTTTCAACTAATGTATAGCTCTTAGAGATTTTTTTTATACCAGAATTTTTTTTTTTTTTTTTTTTTGAGCAAGAGTCTCACTCTGTCACCCAGGCTGGAGTGCAGTGGCATGCTCATGGCTCACTGCAGCCTTGACGTCCTGGGCTCAGGCAATCCTTCCGCTTCAGCCTTCCAAGTAGCTGGAACTATAGGCGCTCCACCACACTCAGCTAATTTTTTGATTTATTGTAGAGACGAGATCTTGCCAATTTGCGCAGACTGGTCTTGAACCTATGGGTTCAGGTGAAGAGGATTTCTTGCCACCGCCTCCCAAAGTGCTGGGATTTCAGGTGTGAACCACTGTGCCAGGCCTATACAAGGAATTTTATGAAATTAGCATTTATTTTGAGTCCTTTATCTATTTAGGTAAAGAAAATTCAGGGCTAGGGAAAGGAAAGAAAAAAATGGCAAGTACTTAGAAGGAAAATTTGGTGAAATTATTAGCACACATTATTTTTTTTAAAGGTGCCATTATTAAAATGAACAAATTTTCTTTTATGATCTTAATAACTTTGAATTTTTTTGGCTTTCTACTGAATGCAATCTTACATTTAATTGCAATATTAATATAACTAAAGTCTGTTCTTTTTTTTTCTTTTTATTTTCTTTTTAAAATGTGGGGTACAAATGAGGGTTAGTACATCCCTACAGGTAAAAGTATGGGTACCCTTATTGGTGTTATGAGCCCTCCTCCTCCCCTGGCTAAAGCCTGTTCTTTAAATAAAGTTTCTTCTTTCCTTCTTATTCTGTTAGAGTTTCTACAGATTTGAAGTACAGAAAACAGCCATGGGGACTTGTCAAATCTTTGATCGAGAAGAATTCTTGGAGTTCATTGGAGGACTATTTCAAACAACTTGGTTTGTATATTTTTTACTTATCAATTTTTGTGAAGGAAACATTTATTTATTTTTTATTTTAAAGATGCAGGGTGTAATTCAGGGTTAGGTATGCAAATGGTCATTGTACAGGTAAAGTTTGGGCCTCACTTTGGTGTCCACTTAAAGATAGCATTTATTAACAAAATTGATTGATTCTTCATTTGGATTCATAGCGGGAACCGGTAGATGGTATTGGAATGACTCCCACTTAAGTGGTTCCCGCTGTTTTATTTGCTGTACCACTTGTAAGTTTCAATGCTTTTTTTTGAATTGCAGTCTTACTCTGCTATCTAGGCTCACTGACACTGCAGCCTCAAACTCCCAGGCTCAAGCGATCCTCCCACCTCAGCCTCCTGAGTAACTGGGACTATAGACACATGCTACCATGCTCAGCTAAGTTTTTTGATTTTTTTTTTTTTTTTGTAGAGATAAGGTCTTGATAAGTTGCCCAGGCTGGTCTTGAACTCCTGGGCTCAAGCAATCCTTCTGTCTAGCCTCTCAGAATGCTGGGATTATAGGCATAAACCACTTCACCCAGCCAAGTTTCAAAGATGTTTATTTTCATTGATCTAACAAACACATATAATATTGATTATATGTGGACATATAATAAAGTTCTATGTGTTTTATAAATGTTAACTAATTTCAGAATCATAATAATCCTGGTGTGCAGATACAAGTATTTTCTTCCATTTTACTAAAAAGAAATTTGAAACAAAGGTTAAGTGACTTGTCAAGATCACACAGTTATAAGCTGTCATACTTCCTGTCTCTGTAAGGAGCCAAGGAGGCTGACTGTAGTGAGGGATTGCATAACCCAATTATAGATATATATTTGTGCTGTCTAAAATCTAGAAAGTCCTGGGACCCACACCTCCATCATCAGATGCAGCTTTCCTGAGTTTATGCAGGGCCACTTAGTGATGGTAGTATGTATGTGTGTGGATTTGTTGGAGGTGGGTGCTAGAGGCTAAGTGGGAGAAGCAATACAGTTGTTCTGTTTGCATAGTTGTTCTGTTTGCATAGTTCTTGGCATATACATGAGGAAAAAAAAATATATATATATACATATATAAGCATAATTAATTTTAGGTGAAGAAAAGTTGGTGATCAGTCAACTAGAGGTATTTAAGCCTTAATCATTTAGTTTGTTGATTATTGTCCTTATCTTTCTTCTGTTGACTACTTCATTATTAAGCTCTTCCTCAAGAGCAGAGAAAATGAAGCTCAAAAACCAGTTTAGTTATTAGGTAATTTTTAATTAAAAAAAATCTGGCAAAGGAAAAGTTTGGAACAAATGACAAAAAATGAGGTATTTAGGTTGTTTGCAGATTTTCTTTGCTTCCTTTTTTGCAAACTCTTATTGAAAATTAGAGCTGTTATTTGCTACTCTTTCCTTTAAGATTGACAAGAACCTTAGCCTATCTCAGAATTCTTTCTAATGATCCAGTGTAAGTGGATAGCCTGTTGTTTCCATAACTGAAATCATTACATTAATATTTAATATAGCACATGGCAAATTTGCTGTGATGATCCCATCATTTATTAATACACATTTTTCCTAGAATAATGAAACCTCATTATGGGGTCATTGTATTCTCTAAAGCTTTTCATTAAGAGTAAAGTTTGAATCTAGGCCATAAGAACCTAGGAATAGTCAATGTCACCAAGGCTTAAGCAAACAAACAAAACAACAAACGTTGCATCTTATAGGTGAGGTTTCCCTACTGTCTAAAGATTCTTTGTTGTTGTTGTTAGAAACAGATTTGTTGATGGAAGAATCTATATTAAATCAGTCCATTGAAGACCCTGGAAAAGTTAGTGTCCTTCGAAGGAGAAGGCGAACATTCAACCGAACAGCAGAAGCCATTCCTAAGCTTTCTTCTCAGCATTCCTCTGGAGATGTGGGCTTAGAGGCCAAAGGGGATATCTCAGGTAGCTATCATTTGGGAAACAGAGATGAAAGATTTTAGTTTAGTTATATGAAACAGAATGTGCCTCCTGTTGGTAAGATATGTCAGTTAGGAGGTCTTCCTTTCTTCCTATCCTTTATTGATAATGTTTGTAAAAGTCTTCATTCTTTAAAGATAATTAACATGAAAGTATAAAAGAACGGTTGCGAAATGACAAACATATGGCCATAAAAGGCATGTGGCCCACATGGCATTTTGAAAATCGGACATTTTTATATGAAAACTCAGATTTGACAGCCCTGGGACCCAAATGCCTTCATAGCAACAGTTGGTAGGCGCTTAGTAGCAGCTGCCCAGTTTGCCTGAATGTGTTCCCCAGCCGGACACAGTCTCTACCACAGTCACTGCCCTCCCGACTTCTGGACCACTTTGCTCACTTATTTCCTACCTGGCATCTGTAGATGTTTGATTTGTACATTTGTGTGTACTGCTCTTAGTCCTTACGTACATCCAGGCCAGCCCAGTAAAATTGCAAAGATGGAATTTAACTTTTATTATCCCCATTCTTAAGTCTGAAGATATCCTACTTCTACTGTTATTCTCTCTCTCTCAGAGCTATAAAACTGTCATACCTTCTCATCTTTCTGCATTATCAGATTTTCTTTTGAGCCTTATATCTTAGTGTGAATGTTTATCACCATTTATGTTTAATGGCTAATTTGGAATTTCAAAGTGGGCAACAATGAATATGTGAGTATGACTTTTTTATTTTTTGAATCAAAGTCTCACACTTGATAACCCAGGCTGGAATATAGTGGCACAGTTATGGCTTACTGCAGCCTCAACCTCCTGGGTTCAGGCGATCATCCTTCTACCTCAGCCTCCTGAGTAGATGGGACTACAGGTGTGCACCACCACGCCTGGCCAATTTTTTGATTTTTTTTGTAGAGATGAGGTCTTACTATGTTGCCTAGGGTGGCCTTGACCTCCTGGGCTCAAATGATCCTTCCTCCTCGGCCTCCTAAAGTTCTGGGATTACTGGTGTGAGCCACTGTGCCTGGTCAAATGATTACTTTTTTTTTTTTTTAAACTTTGCATATAAAGCCACCTCAAATATTATTTGCAGAGAGTATTTATGTAGACATTATGCATGATGTATTGAATTGCTTATAATTTTATAGTAAATTAATTTGTAATATAGGCCAAATTTGAAGGATTTCTTTGTCTTTACAAATACTTTTTAAATTTTCTTTTTTAGCTCTTTTCAAGCATTAAATTTATATCAGTTGCAATCACAATCCTCATTCCAATGTACTCTTTTCCTTGTAATCTGCAGGAAAGAAAAAGGAAGTAGAGAGCTATAACGCTGCTCTTATTGTAGTGATGAGTATTTTGTAAGTATTTGCCATAAGTGCTTATTTTGTTTGTCTATTTTATCTTTTTTTAAATTTTTAAATTTTTTTTAGACACAGGGTCTTGCTTTGTTGCCCAGGCTGGTATGCAATTGTGTATGGCTCACTGCAGCCTCAAACTCCTCGGCTCAAGCAATTCTTGTGCCTCATCCTCTTGAGTAGCTAGGACTGCAGGTGTAAACCATCATGCCTGGCTAATTTTTGTTTTTATTATCAACGGGGGAAGGGGGGAGTCTCAGGCTGGTTTCAAACTCTTGGCCTCAAGCAATTCTTCTGCCTCAGCCTCCCAAAGCATTGGGATTATAGGCATGAGCCACCATGACAAGCAGCTCTTCATTTATCTTTAATTCGTTTCCAAAATAATTTGAATGTATTTGTATTATTATGTAGAAATTGCTACTCTTTGACCAAAGTTGACTTACAAAAACAGCAGTTCTATAGGCTTCAGTCTGATAATTTTTGATGTGTGATTTTCAGAAGAATTGTTAAATTTGAGGAACTACAAAGTACACAATCAACAAATATTTTTAATCAGATTTGTTTTTACCATCATAGATTTTTATGAGAAATTCCATAAATTGAAAGGGAATCTTTATATATAGGGGGTGTTAAAAAAATGTATACACTTTTTTTTTTTTTTTTTTTTGAGTTGGAGTCTCACTCTGTTGCCCAGACTGGAGTGCAGTGGCCGCTCTCGGCCACCGCAGCCTCGACCTGCTGTGTTCTGGCGATCCTTCTGCCTCAGCCTTCCAAGTATAGCTGAAACTACAGGCTACCACACCCGGCTAATTTTTGATTTATTGTAGAGATGAGGTCTCACCAAGTTGCCCGGGCGGGTCTCGAACCCACGGGCTCAGACAGTCCACTCACCTCAGCCTCCCAAAGTGCTGGAATTACAGGCTGAGCCACCAAGCCTGGCTTACACGTTTTAAGAAAGGAAAAATCTGTATTAAAATTGTACTCAATATATATCAGTAACAAAAGATTAATGCCATCTTTTGAGTCATACTACATATTGCTACCATAATCCAACTTTGTAAAAGTAATACATAGAAAATACCTCTTAAACTGTATATACATTTTTTTGGCACCCTGGTATATATGCTGGTGAAGTCCTAATAATATTATTTTACTCTATTCGATTAGATCAGCAGTGTGCATAAGAATCACTTGGTGTGTTTGCTAAATTGCAGATTTCCTGACCCCAATCCCAGAGATTGATTCAGTAGGGCTTGAGTAGGGATCAGAAATCAATATTTTAAAACACACACCCGAGGTGATTCTGATGCATGAAATCTGAGCATTATGTGGTGAGAAAATACTGGGAACATTTGTCTGAATCCCAGGGTATTGTATAGGAATCTACTCAGTTGGTCATATTTAGACATTAATATCTACATGGCTCTATATGAATCTTGTATTCTCTTAGATTTAATTTAATTGGTTCTGATTCAATGATAGATGTTGGGTGATCAATTTTTGGAACGAAGTTCCTATATTAGCTTTTTTTCTCTAATTATAGATTTTAGAACATAGAAAATGTTTGCTGTTTGAGTTTTATGGAAAATCTTATATTCTGCTTAAACCATTTTTTCTATGACAATTTTGAATAGCAGATATTATCAGCAGATATTATCATTTGTATTACTTTACAAAAAATTTATACTCAAATGTTGATCTGTGTAACATTTCAATGCCATAATAATTTCATACATTTAATTTTCTCGCTACTAAAGTTTAAAATAAATACTCTATAGGTAAAGTTCAGACTATATATATTAAGGGCAAGTTAATATTTGAATGGAAAAAATAATTAGATATAATGGCAACAATATATTTACATATATATGTAATAAGGTTTATGTCCATTCACTTGAAAGGCTGCTGTGAAAACCAGTACATTAAGTTTATTTAGCGTACAACATTTTATATAAGACACCATTAATGTACAAGTATATTTGGGACTTGATACTTTATCCAGGATGAACTAGAAGCAATATATATATTTCAGCAATTTTTTTTCTTGCTGGTTTCCACTGGGAATAAGAGGTACATCATGATCTACCTAAGATCAGCTCCATATCGATCTTCTGATGTGCAGTATTACGGGTGTGTAATTGCTTAAGCCAAAGTCACCCAAAAATAGATCCTGAAAGCTTACCTGGTAGAGTTCTAAGCTGGTGGTCACATGTCAACACTTACTAGGATTCCTAGCAGAGCGGAGAGATGTCAAGACAATCCTAACCTGCCAGTTGGGAATATTCGAGGACTCTGTTGCCCAGACTGGAGCACAGTGGTGTGATCATTGCTCACTGTAACCTCAAAATCCTGGGTTCAAGTGATTCCCCTGCCTCAGCCTCTTGAGTAGCTAGGACTACAGGAATGTCCCCCCACGCCAGCTAATTTTTTACCTTTTTTTTTTTTTTTTTGTAGCGATGAGATCTTGCTATATTGCCCAGCTTGGTCTTGAATACCTGGCCTCAGGCGATCCTCCTTCCTTGGCCTCCCAAAGTGCTGGAATTACAGGCATGAGCCACCATGCCCAGTCTTAAGGACTTTTATTGTCACTCTAGTTACCTTCCATCTTTTTCTTCAATAAAAGTGATTATTTCATACAATAAAATAGGTATAATTTATTTAAATAATAACAATAACTGGAAAACAGTCTAGATAATATACATTTTTGAAGCTTTGGCATGTATTAGCAATGCTTTAGGTCTGGATGAGTATGGATTAACCAGGTACGATTTGCTCTACCTAGTGTGCTGCTGCTAGTTTTGTTGAATGTGACACTGTTTCTGAAGCTGTCAAAGATAGAATATGCTGCTCAGTCCTTTTACCATCTCCACCTCCGAGAGGAGAAATCTCTAAAGTAAGTCTTTATTCCCCTGCCCTGTAGTAACCATTTTATTTCAGTAATTCTTTAGTTATACAAAATTCAATTCTAATTTCAGATATTTTGATTTAACTATTCTGTAGTCATAAACAGATTTTTTTGTTTAATTTTGTGTTTTGTTTGCAAATGCATGGGGTACTGATGAATTCTGGATATGAAAGATGAGAAGCTCTTCTCCAAATTCTGAACATGGCGTTTTTCTTTCAGTTTAGCCTCTGAAGTGGTGTCAAGGGCAGAAAATATTCAGAAGAACAAAGATCAGGCCCATCGTTTAAAGGGAGTGCTCCAAGACTCTATAGTGATGCTTGAACAGGTAGGCAGCTCTGTAACTCACAGTACTTAGTACCTTTGTACCAGTATGAATCAGTTGCTCTTCTGATTGTGAGAATACTATTGCTATATCATTATTTGAAGAAAAGCCCTTGTAGAGGCAACTACCTCTGGAAGTTGCAAAATATGTGAAACAGTTACTGTATTATGCTTACTATGTATATAGTTCTTGTGTGTGTCTGTGTGTTTTACACAAAATGGAAGCATACAGTACATACTGTTGTATACCCTGTTTTTTTTAGTAATATATTTTGAAAATGTTTCCATATCAGCTTGTATACATGTATTTCATTTTTATTGATTCTTCTAGATAAAATCTATGCCTAATATTAACTCTTTTATAGAAATGGTAGCTACTGTATACACTGTCCATTATCTTACTACCATCTGTTCATCATAGATCTCGTGATATTTCCATAACAGTACATAAAGCACTTCCTCCTCTTTTAACAGCTGCATAGGATTCAGCTGTATAAATGCGCCATAATTATCTTGCTAGTATTTTTATCAGTCTTCTCAATTATTTTTACCAGTATTTACAAGTATTGAATCCCCTAATTCTCTGTTTATAAATCTCCTCTAAATATCTTCACAAGTATTCCATTGTTGGAGACTTCTCATGGCTCCAGTCAGGTCTCGTGGCCCTCTTTGCCTGATGCACAGCTCTCATTCTGGGGATGCCTGTTGTCTGTCTGCTCTGTTTCCTATAGCTCATGTTTTCCTCTCTCAGTTTACTTCTTCCTGATAATGAAGCACATCCTACTATATCTTCCTGAGAAATAGAATTTGGAGATAAATACTTTAAGAGTTTACCTATCTGAAAATATTTGTTCTGTCTTTCCCCCTTGATTAATGGTTTAGCTGGGAATAGAATTCTAGAACTTTGAAGGCATTTTGTCTTTTGGCTTCCAGTGTTACTGTTGAGACTTTCTGAGGCAGTTATTTCCAACCCTTTACTCTGGAAACTTATGCCTCTAGTTCTGGAAATTTTCTTGGGTCATGCAGTTGATCATTGTCTCCCCTCCATTTTTTTCTCTCCTGACTTTCTGCGGCTCCTATTATATAATTCAGATGTCTGCCTTCTTTTGGATGGGTCTATAATCTTCTTACTTTTTCTTCCCATCTTCCATTTCTTTGTCTTTTTTTTTCTACTTCTGGGAAATTTCTTCAAATTTATCTTCAAGTGCTTCTACTGAGTTTTTCCATTTTTAATAACAAGTTTTTAATTTCTTTTTTTTTTTTTTTTTGAGTTGGAGTCTCACTCTGTCGCCCAGACTGGAGTGCAGTGACCGCTCCCAGCCACCGCAGCCTCGAACTGCTGGGCTCCGGCGATCCTTCCGCCTCAGCCTTCCGAGTAGCCGGAATTACAGGCATGCGCTACCACGCCCGGCTGATTTTTTGATTTATTGTAGAGATGAGGTTTTGCCAATTGCCCTGGCTTGTTTTGAGGCCCCAGCTCAGGCAATCCACTCACCTCAGCCTCCCAAAGGTGTGGGATTACAGGCTGAGCTACCGAGCCCGGCTAAGTTTTTAATTTCAAAGAGCTATTATTTTTCTGATTTTTTTTCCTTTGTGGAGGTGTAATCTTTTTAAATGACTACAATATCTTTATCTCTGAGGATATTACTAATAATTAAAAAAAATCCTTCTTCTTACATACTCACTTTCCATCAAGTCCCCTTATTTTAATTTTAATTTTAAGAGTTCCCTTTTATTTTAATTTCTATCTTAAGGGTTTGAGAGTTTCTTTAGATGTCTGGTAGCCCTCGGTTATCTGCTTGTGTGGATCTGAAGTTCTTAACATGTGGATTGGGCTGGCATTCCCTGAACTTCTCCGTAGATCTGGATGGGCTGTTGGTTGAAAAATCTTGATATCAGTATTTTCAGGTCAGTTTCCACAGAAAAGACACTTTCAGTCTCCCACCTGAGGATTAAAGGCTGGTTGCAGCATTTTAGGAGCTGAGTGGAAGAAGAGAGATGGGGCTGGCAGGGTAGAAGGTGTGGTCTCAGCATGTAGTATATACTTTTTCATATAACCCCCCTGTTGTGGGTATATACTATTGTCCTTAACAATGCCTTGCTGTCCCCGCAGACAGTCAGAGACCTTCTGTTTTATCCTGTCCAGAAAATGAAATTCCAGTCTTCTGTCTACATAGTAGGAAAGGTCAGATGCCCAAAGTATCATTCAGTCCCTTTTTTTAATGGCCCCTTCCTCTTTATTCCATTTCCAGAGATTCCTGGCATCAACACCTGAGCTTTATGAGGATTCTTTGGGGTTAATTTTGTTGGTTTTCAGCATTACCTCCTGTTAGTTTTGGATTTAATTTTTTAGTATGGCCTCCTAAGCCATCCATCTGCTTTCCAGTTTCCAACGTTGCATTGCCATTGTCTCCTTTTCTGTTCTCCCTACTCTTAAAGAACTGGGAGTGATAATTTGTGCCTGTAGTCCCAGCTACTCTGGAGGCTGTAACAGGAGGATCTCTTGAGCCCAGGAGTTCCAGTCTATAGTGGGCTATGATTGGCCACTGCACTTCAGCCTGGACAACAAAGAGAGACTTTGTCTCTGAAAAAATAATAATAAATAAATAAAAGTTAAAAAAAAATTCCTTTGCTGTACTTTTAGTGGGGTTTCAGAAGGGAGCAAATTTGGAACGTGTATTTAATACACTCATTCACTCTTCAGCTCACTCATGCCTGGTCTTCTTTTCCCATAATCCTCCCAGTAATATTACGCAAGCTAAGGTTCCCAGTGAAACTTGTAAAACTAAATACCTCTTTTTCAGTCTTCATCCTACTTTGTCAGCATTTGACAGAGCTGACCACTTCCTTCTTGAAATGCATCTAATCTTGGCTTCTTTAAAATCATTTTTTAAAAACTCGCTGTGATATAATCAACTCTTTTAGAGAATTTTTAGTATATTCACAAGGTTGTGTAACCACCACCGTCTAGTTCTAGAACATTCTCATATTCCAGAAGAAACCCTGTGCCCAGTACCAGTCACTTTCCAGTGATTACTCCCCTTAGCCTCTGGCATTCATGAATCCACTTTCCATTACTATGACTTTGCCTCTTCTAAACATTTCATATAAATGGAATCATACAATATGTGGTCTTTTGTGACTGGCTTCTTTCACTTAGAATAATGTAAAACTACTTTTTGCTAGTAAAAACTGTCTCCTCTACCTAATCTTTACCTGGCCCAAATGCTTCAGGGCTCTGGTTAGATTCTCTTCCCTTCTCCACTACTTTCTCTTTAGGTGATCTCATCCACTCCCCTAAGTTAATTTTAAAAATTTGTTTGAGTCAGGGTCTTGCCCGGTTGCTTAGGCTGGAGTACAGCTTATTGCAGCCTGTACCTCCTGGGCTTATGCTACCATGCCTGGCTAATTTTTGTATTTTTTGTAGAGACAGGAGTTCCCTGTGTTGCCAAGGCTGGTCTTGAACTCCTGGCCTCAAGTAATCCTCCTGCTTCAGTCTTCCTAAGTGTTGGGAATATAGCTATGAGCCACTGCGTCCAGCCTACTCCCCTAACTTTATTTATTTATTTTTTGAGTCAGAGTCTCACTCTGTCGCTCAGACTGGAGTGCAGTGACACACTCATGGCCACCGCAGCCTTGACCCACTGGGCTCAGTCGATCCTTCCACCTCAGCCTTCCAAGTAGCTGGAACTACAGGCATGTGCCATCACGCCTGACTAATTTTTTGATTTATTGTAGAGACAAGGTCTTGCCAAGTTGCCCAGACTGCTGTCGAACCTGTAGGCTCAGGCATTCCTCTCACCTCTGCCTCCCAAAGTGCTGGGATTATAGGCATGAGCCACTGCGCCCATCCTTACTCCCCTAACTTTAAGTAGCTGCATGTTCTAATAACTTCTTAGTTTGTTTGTTCTGTTATAACAAAATATCTGAGACTGGGTAATATATAAAGAACAGAAATTTATTGTTCACAGTTCCAGAGACTGGGAAGTCCAAGATAAAGGTGACGACATGTTCAGTGTTTGGTGAGGGCCTGTTCTTCCTAGATGGCATTGTCTAGGTGTCTGCACATGGTGGAAAGGACAGAAGGGAAAAAACACATCTAGATAATTCCCTCCAACCCTTTTATAAAAGCACTAGCCCATTCATATGCATGGAGTCTTCATGGCCTAATCACCTCCAGAAGGCCACACCTCTGCCTACTATTGCACTGGGAGTTCAGTTGCAACATGAATTTTGAAGGGGACACAAACATTCAAACCTCAGCAACTCCCAAATCTACCTCTTTCAACTTCTTTTCTGAGCTCTAGACTTAGACAATCACTTGCCTACTTGACATCTTCACCTGGATGACTAACACAGAACTCAATTTTTCTCCAATCAAAACTTCATTCTCCTCTAACAGGTCTCATTTCAGAAATGATGCCTCCGTCCTCCAGTTGCTCAAGTCAAAAACTTAATAAGATATATAAGTATTTATTTATGTATGTGATGATTTGTTTTAGTTCTGTATCCCTCTCTGTGTAGAGGCAGGAAAATTACCTGTTTGGCTCACCATTGTACACCTAGTGCTTAACACAGTGCCCAACATTTAACAGGCAAGCAATAAATCTGTTGAATGAATACAAAAAAGAGTAACACACAGTTCTTGCTCTCAAGTTGCCTGCAATTTTATTTGAGAAATAACAAGTCCATGTGTGCTGCTAAAGACTATAAAAAAATGCACAATTCGGTGTTAGAGTGTTAAGTAGTAAGAAGATGTTTGGGGGGTTTAGAGGCAGGATGATTAGGGAAAATGACATGGAGACAGAAAGTAGGAGCATGCTTTAAATCGATGAAGAAGAATATGAACGCAATGGCACGCAAAGACCCTGAAGTAGAACTTGAGCTATTCAGGGGATAATGAGGAGACCCCTGCAATTTCAAAGCCATTTCAGGAAACAAGCCTTTCACTTTGGATAATTTGAATACACAGTAGTAGGAAGAAATGCAGAACTCCAGCAAATGGGAAGAACTCTGGAGCCATCATACTGATAGATACCCTGGAAAATCAGGTGTTTCATATTCAGTTTTTTCATTGGGCATCGCTATAAACAAAATTATATTAAATGTGATTGTAAATTTTGGGAATAAAAATAATCAGAAGAATTTAAATCTAATTTTGAAAATTATTATTTTTTTTACAGCTGAGAAGCTCACTCATTATGCTTCAGAAAACCTTTGATCTACTAAATAAGAATAAGACTGGCATGACTGTTGAAAGCTAGTGATCTTAAGGACTGAAACGATCGAGATACTTGAAACTAAAAGATAACATCCAGAAGAAAACCAGAGGATGAAGGATTCTGACATAGGGACATTTCCATGTTTTCTCATTATTGGATTTCTATTATGAATTCTTTTCAATAACACTTATTTGATAATTAGTTTGATGGCTTTAAGAAAATCCAGCCTTTCATTTCTTACAGATATTTTTAAGCTGTGAATTTCTCCAGTAAACTATGAAATATATCATAGAACTGAATTTCTGTGATGCAAAAAGAAAATGAGACGCTGAATTGAAAGACACAGTCTTAATTCTATAGTGAGATTTGCAGTTTGATGGTTTAAGTTTATCTGTCAGCACATAATCAGTACATGTCTGAGAGGCTGCTTTCACTGTTGTGATAAATCCAAGAAGCTAAGGAAGATAATACAAGAAGAAATCTCTAAATCATTACTAATTTTAAAGAATCAATTTTCAGGCATATATCATAACATTTTTAGGTTTGTGTACTGTAAATATTATAATGTCTTCATTTATTTAGCATGCAAATTCAATAGTCAAACTTTTTGAATCTGCATGTTGATGATTATTATCTGAAAGGTTTTTCAGCTATGCTGTATCTTTATGCAATAAATGTTTTTTCTTAAGGTCACTGTCAGAGGTGAGACTGTCTCGCCTCTTCATACATCAAATGACAGAAAAGTCGATTTAGGAAAAAGAAATATGTAAGATACCAACACTCAGAATGAAGAACCATCCTCTGAGTTTTCAAAACCAGAAGATTAGGGTAAAATCTGGGCATTTAGTAACAGATCAGATATATACTTGAACTAAGCCTGGCTTCAGCTTAGCAGTCTTTCATGATGGAATTGACCCATCTGATTGAAAATGAGTTGTGTATTTTCATAACCATGTATGGCTTCATTCTTTATAAATGTGTGTGTCTTGTTCTAGTTGGCAAGTTATAAGCCAGACACCAAACTTTAGCTCTTTAATAAAAACTTTTGGGGCATGTGTGTCCCAATACAAATGCACTGACTTTTCAAGCTGTAAGTCAGACACAAGCTTTGGCTCTTTCATAAGAAATTTTTGGTAGGTGTTTCTCAAGTGGTTTGTGAAAATAAGGACTTTGTAAACTGACTTAAAATTCATTTTTTTGGCTGGGAGCGGTGGCTCAAGCCTGTAATCTCAGCACTTTGGGTGGCTGAGGCCAGAGGATTGCCTGAGTCCAGGGGTTTGAGACCAGTCTGGGAACTTGGGAACCCTGTTTCTACAATAAATCAAAAAATTAGCTGGGCGTGGTGGCATGTGCCTGTAGTTGCAGCTGCTTGGAAGGCTGAGGCAGAGTGAGCCTCTGACTCAAAAAAAAAAAGTTCTTTTTTTTTCCCCCCAGGAATTAGGGGAAGTTCAGAAAGTTTGTTTTGTCTCTTTTCTGGAAAAAAAATAAAATAAAATTTGTATATAGTCTTACTGTTTTGAACAACTATTGCCTTTAATTAAATGTTTCCCTTTTTTCCCCCAGAGTCACCACAGCCCCGTGGCATTGTTAAGGTCATTTTTGAGATGCCTGTAGAAATGAAAGTATTGACTTGATTAGAAGGAAAATGGGTTTATCTGGGTGACTCCTAAAGAGCCTACCCGGGGGGTACCAGTGTACCTACCTGGGTTGGTTTGTTTTTTTGCGGGGAAGGATTGATATGGTGCCTGGCTGTGAGCAAGAGTGAGTAACTGGATTATAAACTTGAAACTTTCTCTGTCAAATTCACAAGAATGATGGACCAATAATATTTTTGTGATGTTTCTTTAAAACTAGTACTTCATAACATACCTCAAATAAGATTACCAAAGGAAGTTTCTTGATAAATTAAGACTAAACATGTATGGATTCAGAATCCAGTTTATAAAATGTGAGCCGGTCATGTGAATTGAGTATCAATAAAACCAAAAATGTCTGAGTTGTAGTTTTTCCATCTTTTTCTACTTAAAACTAGAAAGCCTGCTATAATGAAAAGTGTACACGGACCTACACTCTAAAAATTTGTGTGCAAAAATAAAACCCAAAGAGGGCTCTCATCTCGGGCAGTTTCATTTCAAATACGCAGACTACTGGAACCAAAGTACCAGAAAGGCCTGCTGGTCTAACGTAAAGTCAGCTCGCCAGAAATTCTGAAAATGAAGAAGTTGGATACACGAACAGATCTGGCGGCAGCGATGGGCCTTTAAGGGAAGGCTCGCGATTCGGGGGAGGTACTTGGGTAACATTCCGCGGTGGAGAGCTCCCCCAACGCCTGTTGCCGGCGTCTAGGTGAAGGGGGGCCGACCCACGGTTCCACGTTTTCGGAAATCCTCCGGGCTCCCGGGCTTCCCGCATGTCCGTCTCCGCACCCCGCCTGCACCCCGAGGGCTCCGCAGGTTGTCCCGCCCGCGTGCCGCCCGCAGGACCC